TTATTGCTGTTTTCGCTTTCCGATTTGTTGTGAGTCCCTCTCTCTCTCGCTCTCTCTATGTGCGTGTGCGTGGATGTGTTAAGAGTCTGGACCAAACCAGTTGTATCCATCTCATCCATCCCTCGTTAAGAGGAAAACGGAACATTCCTCCTCCTCCTCGGCACGAGCCTTCTGCTCCTAGTCCTTTTGGGGGTTGATGCGGCGATGGGACGGATCCAGCCGCTCGTCGACGCTCGCTTCTGAGTAATGATCTGTTTTGAGGGCCTTGCAAAATTAGAGCGTCCATAGATCGACCGACGCGTGAGCGTTCCAATTGAGATGTCTGCCGAATGTCACGTACCATGTCATTAGATGGAACGGTGGATGGCGACCAATAATGACGATAATACATGCTGTTTAATAGGTATGCTGTTTGATAGGTATCGCGGAACTCGAAGTCAACATTTTCAAATGGCGTGAGGGAAGATTAGAAATCGATCATTAAAACGTGCTAGCTGGTGATTCGATGCGTGATAATCCATTAATATTCTCTCTTGATTAATTAGCGGTTAGAACCTATTCTAACGAATCGGGTCAATTCTGTTTAAAAAAATATCAAGTCGCATCGCAGTGCACAAGCAAACGTCAGACTTTCAAGTTAATTGTAAACTGTAGTTAGTGTCATCCATCATATTATTAGTAGAGTCGATCCGTTCAACTCCTTTCTTTTCTTTTTTTTTTTTTTTCCCTTTTTAGCAATTTTCTCGATACATTAAAAGTTACGAATCGCCGTAACATAATTCATAGGGAAAATTTCAATTAAGGACTCAATATAGGGTCTTTTTCTCAAAAAAGGACCCCAAGTGAATATAATATCGTATAAAGGTCTTAAGTGTCTAATCAGTCTCAAATAAGAACCCGAAATACCCGATTAGTTTCAAGTAAGGGCCTGAGTTCGCCGGCCGGTCAAATGCTCACCGACCGACGACCACGTTACTGTTCTGGCGACCGAAATAAAGGCAGTTTCGTCATTTTCTTTTTAATTTTTTTTTCCTTTTTCTGTTTTTTTTTCCTCTCTTCCCCCGCCAGCCATAGTCAGGGCCGCCAGAGGTCGCCGGCGTTGGGTGGAGGCTGCCCTCGTCGGCGTTGGGCAAGGGCCGCCCTCGCCTAGGCTGGCAAGGGTAGCCCTCACCCGCCCTCACCTGACGCCGTCGAGGGCAGCCCTTGACTGGGTTGGGCGGGCGAGGGCGACCCTTGCCGGCGTCGGGCGACCCTCGCCTGCGTCGGGCGACCCTTGCCAGCCTAGGCGAGGGCCTCCCTTGTCTGATGCCAACGAGGGTAGCCTCCGCCGGCCCCGGCTATGGTCGGCGGGGGAAGAGAGGAAAAAAAAATCATAATAAGAAAAGGAAAAGGAAAAGAAAAAAAAATTAAAAAGAAAAAGACGAATATGCCCTTGTTCCGGTTGCCGGAACAGTAACGTGATCGCCGGCCGGTGAGCATTTGATCAACCGGCGAACTCAGGCCCTTACTTGAAACTAATCGGGTACTTCGAGTTTTTATTTGAAACTGATTGGACACTTGAGACCTTTATATGACACTATATTCACTTGGGGTTTTTTTTTCAGAAAAAGACCATACCAGAAGTCCTTAATTGAAATTTTGCCTAATTCATAGGCATTGTTAGGTAAGATACTTTGGAGGGATCGATCGAGGCATCGAGAGCAATTTTACTCCTCCCCCCATGAAAGAACCACGAATGTACGATGATCCTTTTAGTTTTGGACACATGCAATGCAATCATGGTACTTTTGGAACAGTCCAATTCAGCGGGTAGGTTTTCACGAAGAAAATCCATCAGACTTATCACGTGGAGATTCTGTCAACAGGTATCCCAGCATGCTGAGCCATGTTTGGATTCTCGGAAGATCAACTTCCTGTTCAACTGACCGAAAAGATCGGAGGATCTCCATGTTGAGATGCTGCCGAATTCTTCCCGATTGCTAATGTTATGATTGACTGGGTCAAATGATCTTTTCGTTCGCGACTTGAATTTGGAATCTCAAAGTGAATTTGAAGGGAAACGAAATCATGAGGATCCTCCCCTGCCGAACTGCCGACGATGTCTTTACCCATCCAATGTTCTTCGTGAAGGGGATGGATCAAGTCGAGCAGATTCAGCTGCATGCGTGACATCGATACCCGTTATCGAACTGGGTCGACAGCAAAACCCTTTCCTGGGGTTTGAAAGCCGGGGCTCGAGTTCCATAATCGCTCAGTTCTAATCGAGCTCGAACCCGAGTGTCGAGCCTTGGATATCGAGCTCGAGCTCGAGCTTAATGCAGTACCGACTCGATGACCCTTTATTCGGGTGGGAGGGATCCGCCCTGGGCCAGGGAGATCAAGGGGGAAAATGGAAACGAATCGCTCTTTTGCGAGTAAATTCCGTGGAAGAAGTACCGGATTAGGCAGCAATCCTATCCGATGATTAGGAGGGAGACCCCCAAATCAAAGACAAGGGCGTCCGAATCAATGCCCTTTTATAAACAAATCAAAAGAAAAGAAGGAGGAAATTTGGTCCATCTTCTTCTGCTTTTCTTCTTCGTAACTTTCCAATCCTCAAAAGACCAACATCCTCTCAAACGTCCCATTCTCCAAGAGCCCACGAGCGCCCCCAACTAAAATATATTTATTTATATATATATATATATATATTATATATATATATTTCAATTGTCCACAACATTAAAATCAATAAAATAAGTGGTGAGATCTCTTGGTGGCCCCCCCAACACCCCAGCTAAGCTAAGATAAAGGAATACCACATCTCATTCATCATGTGTACGATATTTCTTTTTGTTAATCTTCGGAGTTTATCATTAAATTTAAGATTCGAGAGCAGGATTTGCACTAAACCAGCTCCCCACATTCTGTGTGGCCATCGTTTGATTAATCGACTAATTCGGATCAATCATTGAAGACCCCGAATTGGGTACGGGGAAAAAATTAATTTCGAGACCCCCCCTTCCTTTCTAGTCGATCATGATTAACGAATAAATCTTATTAAAACAACAGCAAAAAATTTTAAGGGGCGGATTTAGAAAAAGGGGGTTCGTATTTATATTCGAATCAACGGCCGATGGGGTCCGGCGACGTCGAATGGACCCTCCCCTTTGAAAAGAAAGATTAGGAATTGGGAGAATTTTTCTAAGGTTTTGAATAATAGTGCCCACCCCCCCAAAATTGTTCCTTGTACGGCAAATGAATGGCATCGTCCGTATTGCTTTGCGAAAAAGCAAAAGTTTAGGAGGATTGCAAATCTGATTTGTTTATTAGGATGTATGCGATTGTGGGCATTAGAAAGAAGACCGGTGATGATGATGATTCGTGCGTTTCCTTTTGGGGTATCGCGGAGGGAGAGAAAGAGAGAAGGGTTTTAAGTTTAATCCGAGAATGCCGAGGAGAAGAGAACAGGAAATGCCGCGAATTTCAATGGAGCTGGAAGGCGGGATTTGAAGGGAACAAAAGTCAGTTGCTCGAGGAAATGAAATGGAATGGAGCACTCCAAATCCAAGATGGGGCATTAGAGAAAGCCCCCGGAATTCGAGTCAATGCAGTCGAAAACCTTTTCGTGTGGTACCGATTGGAAAACTAGCTAGAGAAGGCTTTTAGGAAGATTTGCCAACCGAAGCACTAGGGACCAAACCCCAGCCACAGGTGCCCTTCTCCCTGGATCAAATTCCTTCTTTTGTCTTTTGGGCGCGCACGAATGAAATGGGAGGGAGGTGCTCGTTTGCTTTGCTCCTTAAGGAAAAGAGGCATGGATGGAGAAAAGGCAAGGGAAAATGACACAAACAATCTCTGAACTTTGATAGAATGTGCAATTTGATTCTCGAACTTTTAATTTATTCAATATAATCCCTAAACTTTAGCCTAATGTTCAATGTGGTCCCTAAACTTTTGATACATATTCAATTTGGTCCATGAACTATATGAAAATGTTCAATGTAGTCCTTAAGCTTGAATTGATTAGGGACTACATTGAACATATAGTTTAGGGACTACATAGAACATTTTCATATAGTTCAGGTACCAAATTGAACATGTACCAAAAGTCCATGGACCATACTGAATAAATTAAAAGTTCATGAACCACATTGAACATTAAGCTAAAGTTCTAGGACCATATTGAACAAATTAAAAGTTCAGAGATCAAATTATACATTCGGTCAAAGTTCAGGGACTGCTTATGTCATTATTCCAAGAGGCAAAGAAGAGGAGAGGGAAAAAGCACGAGATTGGAAGGGAGCTCGTGAAATTCTCTCCTCTCCCCTATTTCTTTTCCCCCCCTAAAAACTAGACCCCTAACCCTAATCACCACCTCAAAAATGCATTAGCCTCCCGCTTCCCTCTTCGGCCTCGCGGAGTCTCGCTGCGGCGCCGGTTTCTTCGCCGCCATCCGTCGCTGTCGCCGTGGGGTTCAAAACACGCGACGGACGGGCGTGCGTGCGACGCTTACACCAATTTGCCCCATGCGAGCATCTTTTAGAGACGGAACGCCATGCATTCCAACGATCCCGAAATTATTCACCTCGAGAATTTCCGAACGTAAAAACCCATCACCCCAAAAATTTGTTCCTCTTCGAATTCCCTTGAGCCCCTGTTTTTCGGGGCTTTGCTTTCTGCCCAGTAAACAAAAGGAAAAAAACGGGTGTCATATATGTTAACAATGATCCTTTCCCCCTCCGAAGGAAACACACATCATTGCTCCCCCTCCCTCCCCAACCATCCATCCTTTTCATCCCTTGCGAAACTCCTCTCTCTTCTCCTCTCTCTCTTCTCTCTGTCTGTGTGTTTGTACTTCGTGCGTGTGTGAAAATGGAGGGTGTTTGAGCTTTCTAAAGATTACTCACTTCGCTTCGAAAATCTCGTCCCTTTTCCTTCCTCTTCTCCTCCCTCAAACCTCCCAAATTTAAAACACCCACCACCATCTCTTCCTCCTCTCGCCCTCTCTCTTTCCACCTCCTTCTCCTGCTCCTTCTTCTCCTTCTTCTTCTTCTTCTTCATCAGCCAAGTCATCGTAAGACCCATCTCTGGTCGAATGGATCCTTCGTCCACGAGCTCCGTCAACGGGTTCTACACGTTCCTCACCCGGGGGATCGACGACCTCGAGCGGACCTACCTCGCCCCACGGGCGGGGGCCGGCGGCGGCGGCGGGGGAGCCATGTCGATCCAGTTCCTGCAGGCGGCGCTGGCCCTGCTCCGGTCGTTCCACTCCAGCCTCACCCTCCTGGTGCAGAAGCTCCACCTCCCCGTCGGCGACAGGTGGCTCGACGAGTACATGGACGAGAGCTCCAAGCTGTGGGACGCCTGCCACCTCCTCAAGTCCGGCGTCTCCGCCCTGGAGTCCTTCTACTCCTCCGCCCTCGACATCGTCTCCTCCCTCGACCTCCACCGCCACCTCTCCCCCCAGCTCTCTCGCCAGGTAATTAATTCCCGCGACAGAAAGAGATTTCCCAGATTACATACTCTGCAACTGTTCCCTGTTTCGGCCGGTTCCTTGTGCACGCTGATCCCGCGAAATTACGCGCGGGTGCCAGAGCACCGTGGCGCTCCGATCATTTTCGGATCGCGCGGGGCTCTGATCGACCGGTGATCGTCGTGATCATTGCCGTTTCAATCTTGACTGATATTTGGCTCCCGATTGGCGGATCGATTGAACAGTTGGCGCGGGCGATCGCGGCGTGCGGGAGGGAGGCGGCGGGGCTGGAGGAGGAGAACAGGGCGCTGGTGGAGGCCCGGATGGGTCAGCTGTCTCGGCTGCGGTTCGACGACTGCGCCGCCGCCGCCGCCGTGGAGCCCCGGCTCAACGGGTTCAACGGGTTCCGCGGCGTCCTCTACGCGATGCGCAACGTGAGCTCTCTCCTCCTGACCGTCCTCCTCTCGGGGCTGGTCTACCACTGCCCGGAGCAGAGCTTCTTCTCCGCCCGGCCTTACGGCGGCGGCGGCGGCGGCGAGTACGAGCGGCCGTGCCCGCTGTTCGGGTCGGGGATAATGATATCGGCGGCGCGGCTGGAGCAGAGGATAGGGGAGGAGATGAACCGGAGGGGGAGCGGCAGGAGGGCGATGATAATGGTGGAGGAGTACAGGAGGGGGAGGGCGGGAATGGAGGAGATCAGGGGGTGCCTGGAAAGCGGGGCGGCGGGGGCGGCGGAGGGCGGGGCCGGGGCCGGGGTGAGGGAGAGGGTGGAGGAGATGAGGGGGTGCTTGGGGGCGCTGAGGGATGGGGTGGAAGGGGTGGTGGGGCAGCTGGATGACTTCTTGGACGAGATCGTGGAAGGGAGGAAGAAGCTCTTGGATTTCTGCAGCCACAGATGAATGACAATTTTTTTTGCAGCCAAGACGGGTTTTTTTCCTTAGGTGGGATTTTCGGTTTAATATCGTTATTAGCGTTATTCGTCGTTAGACATTTAGATGACTAGGAGGAGGAGGTGGAGGAGGTGGAGGAGATTTGTCATGAACATTTTTGAATGTGGGGTGGTGAAATGAGGGCGCAAAAGAATTTTACAGAAGTAGAAAGATGCTAGGGTGGTTGTACCTATTCTTTTCTTTCCTTTTTCCCCTTTGTAAGTTGCAACACTTTCCACTCTTGATCTCTCTCTCTCTCTCTTTTCTTCTTCTCTTATTTTGTTGCTTTAATCAAATTCCCTTTTTTTTAAAAAAAATATTTTTGTTCGTATTTCCCCTGGTCATCTTCCGTTTTTTTTTTTTTCAGTTGGCTACTCGATTTCTCTCTGTGTACGCGTATATTTCTTTCCGGTTCGTGTGGGATTCGCCGGCCTAGTTTTGAATATGTTATTAAGAGGGTTCGACTCGAAAGTTTAAAGTTATATGTGTTGAGGAGATATCAAGTATATAAAAACAATACAGTGGTATGCATGCACTGGTCAACACGGGGGGAGAACGCGAGCAGAAATTTAGGAACACTGCCGCGACCTAGAAACGCATTAAGGCCACGAAAGATAGTACACATACAGGAAACACGGGGTAAAACAAACGTGGACCAATGAATGGGTCGGGAGCTTCCTTTGTCTGTCGTCGTCCTTCATGGGTTGGGGGAATGCCAGCCAGTGCCTTACATTACATTAAAGTCAAATTAATCTTTTTCAGGGTTTAGTTTATTTGGGGGGGGGGGGGGGGGGAGTGTGATCTCGCCTCGTCCGGTTTCAGCTGTCATTTTAATCAGGCGAGCGTCGCTTCTTTCAAGTTGTCATAGGGCTGCTGTTATAGCTGTGAAAAAGAAAAGGAGGGCGGGCAAAAGAAAGTAAAGAGAACAGAGGAGGAGGAGTGTACTGTGTAGTGCAGTGTGATGTGCAGGGGAAGGGACAAGGAGATTCCTTGGTGGGCTATGAGTGAGTGAACCTTTAATTATCGTCGCATCAGACTTTGAGCACAGAAGCAGCAGCAAGAACGGCAGCTTCTTTTCGAGGGCTTTCTGGGGAAGCTTTTGTCTGGTCCGGTTCCTCTTCTTCCCCTTTGAAAGCCATGGGAGCTTTTATTACCAAAAGCTCCTCAGCCCTCTCTCTCTCTCTCTCTCAAAGAACAAATTTGGTAGTCAAATCTTTATTGCCCTTCTTTTGGGGGGTTTGAGGGGTAGAGTTGAAAAATGAAGGAAAAAGAAGAGCCGTCGCTGTCTCAAAGACCTGGTTGGATCTTTAAACCGTGAACTCATGCATGCTTTTTGTCCCATGCCGGGAATTCATGCCTTGCCTCTCTTCCAGGGTTCCCCCTAAAGAGACTGCTTACTAAACAAGCCACCTTTCGACCAAATACAAAAAAGAAAAAGAAAAAAGAAGAAGCTATCTGAATATAATAATGATGATGATAAATGCGGGCTGGGTGGTGAGGGAAAGATAAGTAAGAGAGAAAGAGAGAGGGGGAGAGAGAGCATAAGGGACAAAGGAAGTGCCCAGAATCATAATTTGGGGTTTTTGCCAAAATCATGTTTAGGCAACAGAAACCGGTAAAAGAACAATAATAAGGGGACAGTCACTGTGAGTCTGTGACTCTCTCTCACCACACCCCACCACACCACACCACAACACACCAAACCATCATTCCATTCCCCCCACATCCTCAGTGAGAAACACCACTGCTTTGCTCTCAGATTTCCAAACAAATCAGCAAACCAGAAGAAAAAGGTAACCACAGCTGTCAAGAATCTCGTACGAGCTTTTCCCTTTTTCCTCTTCATTTTTCTTTCGCTCATTTAAGCTCAGGCAATAATGACTAGGAAGCACAATCAATTTCAGCAATAGAAAGAGCGTGCCTTTAACAGATAAAAGGCCTCAGATATTTAAGAGAGAAGTTATATCTCGCTCTGCATTCTGGGAGTCATAGTCATAGTTATATCTCACCAAAAGTGTATTCATTCTCAACCTCATTTAACTTGAAGCAAAAGCTAAGTCATAGCTATAGCTCACGCTGTAAGTCATACAAATGTTCAGGAATTAGGCTCTCTGATGAAACGACGACCTGAACTTAAACCATTAACCCAGCACGTCCAGAAATATGTCGAGAACATGAACGTTGACAAAAAAAAAACGAAGAAAGATGCTTCCTAATGGTAATCATTTGTGTGAAGAAATGGACAGACTCAGACTGCGGTGTTCGATATTTCCACATGGTATAGAGACTAATTTTCTGTAATATACACAGCCGACTAACATAACGCCAAAAATTGGGAAGAGCGCGGGAGGGCATACAAGTGCAGGCGAACGGAGAAGTTCCGCAACAAATGCCTCCGGCTGCTTTTCTAGAGTCAACTGTCGATTCCTGGCATAGCAAATTGGGAAGCAAATGATTCAACTCGATTCCGCAGCTCAACAATGTCTTTGTTGCTCTGAAGACCCTTGAGGAAATCCCTCTGCGATTTTCCATGTTCCCTCCGCGCACCAATGGCAATCTGAGCTGCCCTCAGGAGAAAATCAGCTATCGTCTCGAAATCAGACTCTATACATCCTCTCGATGTCATGGCAGGAGTACCTAGATAAGAATAGATTTAAGTGCTCACTTTTGATATCGCAGCCACTATGAAGCTGAAATAGCAATGAGATCAATTCACAGAGTTATTCTACTTTCAGTTTTAGTAACATGGATACACTCAGAATTCAGCTTATAAAAGCTCCATCACCATATATGGGAGGTCAAAACTTACCGATTCTTGCTCCTCCCAGAGAAATTGCACCATTTTCACCAAATATAGCAGCTTTGTTGACACTAATGTGGCACATCTCACAGACCTTCTCATAATTCTTTCCTGAAAGAATAGTTATTTGGTCAAAAGAAATTTATGGATGCAACTTTTTCCATAAATTTATGAAAGAAGGGGAAACAGGGAAAAAATTTATGAACCGCTTGTCCCCAAAAAATTAAGAGCCATGAGGAGTTCTATTCAAAGTTTTGTCATAGTAAAATAGCAAAATGCATTTCAAATATCGCGAGTAAATCCTTGGTGTATATGAAAAGCAGAGAGCTCCAGCACTCAAATCAGCAAGTTATTTACTTCCATCATATAAACAAGCCCTTGTTCATCTGCATTACATAAGCATTTAATGCTAGAAGGGTTAAATTGCCTGATTAACTATCAGTTAGAGCTATCACAAAGCTGAAGTAAATAAGATAAAAGATTAGCTAGCAACAATTGTTAAATATGAGGAGTCCTTGAAAAAAATTTCAGAGGGGGTTTCATCATCTCAAAGAATACCTACTTGATAGCATCATCTGTAGTAAAGCTAGTGATATCCTAAAAACGACTACAAGATTTTCAGCAAAGAACTCTTCGGTTTCTCCTATATCTCAAATGATGAAAATGGCAGAAAAGCAACTCAATTGAAGAAGCATACATCACAAGGAAAAAATCAAATTAATAAACATTTCAATGACATTCCAGGATGTTCAGCAAAATGCTAGCTCAAAATAACGATTCCTCCACTGATACAGTCACTATATATGATGTTTCACACATTCACACAGAGAATGACAGCTTAAAATTCATTGCGTGCAAGGGGATGACAGGATAATAAACTCATGACACCTTGTAAAATCTGGAATAAGTAACAACTCTACCTGATAAGCCAAGCGGAGTCAGGTCCCAGACCAACAAATGATTGTCCGTGCCTCCAGTCACCAACCGGCATTTTCTTCTCAACAATGCAGATGCTAAAGCTTGAGCATTTTTCTTCACCTGTTGAATATATGCTCTGTACTCGAAGCTAGCCACTTGTTTTAAGGCTATGGCAAGAGCAGCAATGTGATTATTATGAGGGCCTCCTTGCGTCGTCGGATAAACAGAGAAGTTTATCTTTTCCTCGAAATCATAATTCGCAGTATCATGACCATGACTAGACAACAAGCCTTGTTTCTTTGACTTTACACCTTTTCTGTAAAAGATAATACCTCCTCTGGGACCTCTGAGACTTTTGTGAGTTGTTGAGGTGACAATATCACAATAATCAAATGGACTTGCACATTCCTGCAAATGACAATGACTGTCATGAGCATAAAAATTGGAGACTTAAAAGTTGGAAAACATTACATTATTCAGAGCATGCAGCTTTTTGTTGGTGTCGACTAGCAAGAAAACAGGTGTTGTATGTCGAGGCAGATTAAAAATCACAGAAATTTCAGTAAGGGTTATAGTATGGACAATAGTGCCATAAAAGAGTCCATCCAACCCTTACGAACAGAAGATTCCAATAAGAAAAAGCAGCACCATCTCCAAGTACCTCATTAAAAGATAAAGCTTGTCTCAAACTTCGTTGCTTATAGAACAGTTAAAACATACCCTGGACTTGAGACGTTGTGACTTACAATCAGATAATATCATGGTTAGTCAAACCACAGGTACATGGCAATGGCGCTACACGAATAATTTGTTGAACTTGACATGCCTGTCTATGCGCATACATGCAAACAAGGGGCCTAATGAATGCAATTGAACTCGAATTAAGGACTTACTTAGGAAAAATAGCACGCGCGTATATCATAAGCAAACACCTAAAATTAAGGCATAAGATCATAAAACAAGCTTGTAGAGTGATAGTGTTAGTTATGTTCACAATCCAACCAATCCCTCGTAATTCAATTCAGATTAACACAATAAAACGATGATACCAACGTCAGAAAAAGATCACGGATTCAAGAAAAAAATCTCATAAAGATCGCAGGGTCTAACCTTTGCTGCCACAAGACCACTGATGTGCGCCATATCACACATCAAAACGGACCCGCACTTATCTGCTATGTGCCTAAACCTTGCATAATCCCACTCTCGAGGGTACGAACTCCCGCCGCAAATCAGTATCTTCGGTCTATAATCGAGAGCCTTCTCTTCCAGCTTATCATAATCGACATACCCCGTCTGCGGATTGACTTTGTAAGGAAGACTCTCAAAGAATATGGAAGCAGCAGAAACCTTTTTCCCACTTGGTGCATAATAACCGTGACTCAAGTGACCGCCGGAAGGCGAGTCCAAACCCATTATCCGATCCCCCGGAAGCAAAAGACCCGTGTAAACCGCGAAGTTGGCGGAGGTACACGAATAAGACTGCACATTCACACCCCATTTATCCGAATCCAAATGAAACGCCTCCAATGCACGCTTATAGCAGAGGAACTCGATTTGATCAATATACTCATTGCCCGTGTAATTTCTAGATCCGGGCATCCCCTCCGAATACTTATTAGTCAAATGACTGCCTAGAGCTTCCATTACCGCCCTACACACGAAATTCTCGGAAGCGATCAACTCGATACCTTTAAATTGCCTCTGCTTTTCCTTCTCCATGATCTCGTGAATCTCCGGGTCGGCCACGGACAGAGCCTGGTTCCCCCACGCTTTGACGGCGGCTCGCCGGGCCTCGACCCCCTGCTCGACCGCAACCCGCTTAACTCCGTTCGAATTCGGCAACAATTGCCCGTCCCTCTGCCTCTTCAAGCACATGGAGTGCCCCAGAATCCTAAACTCCTCCTCCTCCTCCTCCTCCTCCTCCTCTTCCTCCTCCTCGCTCAATTCCTCCTCGTCGCTCTCCCTCGACTGGTCATTCTTCGGCTCGAGCAACTGCAGCGGGATCGGGCTCGACGAGCCGCGACGGTTCGCGACGAACTGCCCGGGAACGGCGTCGCTAGGGTTCAGAGGGGCCGGGGTGGAGGAGCGAGAGCGGAAGGCCAGGGAGAGACCGGACTGACAATCAGAGAAATCCATCCAAACAAACCCCCCCCAAGGAATTGCAGGGATTTCCGGGTCTTCGACGGCGACGGCGACGGCGATCAGGGGGGGGAGAAAAACTGGGGGAGACGACTTATGGGTAGGTGTAGCAACAACAGAAGCATCGACAGCAATTCCTGAACAAGGCGCAGCGGAAGAAGCGAAGCCTCGGCTGGCGATTCGTTGAGCTCGCAGCAGCAGACGCTTCCATGTAAAGATGGGATTTTTCTTCCGAAATCGCCTCCAAAATCGGAAATTGAAAGGACCCAAGAACGATGGATGGGTGTGCTTTGAGAGAGAGAGAGAGAGAGAGAGAGAGAGAATGATGATGGGTAGATGTTATTGACGGAGACTGGCTGATGAGGAAGGCGGGCGGGGGATGAACACGGACGCGATTGCGGGCGATGGGGCGAGCGCGCGCGCACAGAGTCGGTCGCGGGGGGCGGGGGCGACGGGATGACCGGCTGCAGGCGGTAGCGTTTCGGGTTGGTCGCCCGGTCGGAGGACACGTGGCGGGAGCTTACTGGCGGTTGGATGCTTGGGGAAGGGGGGGGAAGGAAGCTCGGAACAACGTTGATGCGAAGGGCGTCCAGGTACATGCGCTTACCTTGAATATCGCGAACGTGTGTCGTGCCGGGTATGCCAAAGCAGCAATTGTGGAACAAGGGGGGATCGCATTCGCATGGCACCGAGCTTTATGTCCTCCCGGGTGTGTTTGTTAGCCAACGACTTTTTCATGTTCTCGCGCGACCGTAGCGCTGGGGTGACGGGGTCTGTACACTCGGGGGCGGATCGTGTAGTTATAATTCAAACCGAGCATTATACGACGAAAGTGGGTTTTTTTTATGCTGGTGAGTGTGGCTGCGCGATCGCTCATGCCTACCCTATTGTTCAATAAAATGAAAAGAACGGGCTTTCATTTTTTTTTTTTTGGGTTTTGTGGGTTTTTTTTTTTTTTTTTCCGGCTATGGAGATCTTGAGATGTAGAGTTCGATGGGGCATCGAAGTAGCGATTTTGTGTTGGATTCGTTGCTTTTGCTCGCCCCGATTGTGAGTCCCCATCACTGATTACTATTATCGATAGCTATTAGGGGTGTCAGAACCGAACCGGAAAATCGAACCGAGATACGAACCGAACCGAACCGAAAATTTAGTGCATTTCGGTTCGGTTTTGGTTTCGATTCGGATCATTAAAATTAACCAATTTTTTTTTCAGTTTGATTTATTTCAGTTCGGTTCGGATCAGTTCGGATCGAACCGAACTAAAATAAACACACTTCCTCTCGCCGAGACCATCCTCACGGCCCTCCACACTCTTCCTCTTGCCGCCGTCCCTGCTCTTCTTCTTCTTCTTCCTCCCCATCGACTCGCTCGAGTCCCAAGCCTCGACCTTGCCATTGCCGCCGCCGCCGCCGCCGCCGCCGCCGCTGTTGCCGGTGACCACACTCATCTCTCTCGAACCCTAAACGCGGAAAATCCCCCAAATCATCAAACCCCATGAATCAGCATCCATGGCTCTCCAAGAAACTCCCCCCCGAAGAAACTCCCCGAAAAAAATCTCCCAAAAAAAAATGATAAATTACGCCGGGAAAAAAAGGCTCGAAATGGCTGACGCGGCGGCGGCGGCGATCGCTCCGGCGGGGAGGGTTTCCGAATCGATCGGCGGCGGACGGCAGCTCAATCTGCGGATGCGGCGGTCGAAGAAGCCGAGAGCGCGTCGACAAGAAGAAGAAGAAGATCGAGAGAGAGAGAGAGAGAGAGGATTTGGGGGTCGAGTTTGGCCTTTCGCAGAGAAGAAGAGAGAGAAAGAGGGGTGTGTGTGTGTCTGTGTGCGTCGTGTTCTTTCTCTAATTTTTTTTTTCTATTTTTTTTCTCTTTTTGTGAATTTTCTGCGGGTGGAATTCACCGAGAATGAAAAAAATGTCATTTTGTGGTGCGGTTGCATTTTTTTTATATTTTTCGATTATTACTGTTATTATTATTGTTATTATTTTTTAATCTGTTTAATTCCTGAAATTTTCTATTTTTTTTTGGGTTAAGCCTTTTTTATCCGGAAATCTTAACAATGTTTCTTTTTTTTTGTTTTGCCGACGTAGGGATTTTAAAAAAATTATCATAAAAAAATTATCATGAAATTTTTTTCATAAAAATAGAAAACCGAGCCATGAATAAAAAAGCAAAAAAAAACAAAAAAGAAGAAGAAACCGAAAACCAAACCGAACCAAATCGGCTTATCGGTTCGGTTCCAATTCGGTTCGGTTCCTATTTGGTTCGGTTCAAGGGGGCACCCTTAACGGTTCGGTTCGGTTCGGTTCGGTTTTTAAAGAAAACCGAACCGAACCAAACCGTTTACAGCCCTAATAGCTATTGTTTTTGTTATCACGTACCATCTTTAGCATTGTTACTATTTCTATCGTCACTTTCATCGTTTTGCAGATATCGTCATCATATTCTTTATTGTGATTATGCTGATACGGTCGTGTCATTTATCACAACTTTAGTAATAGCTAGACAGTTCGACATAAAAATGTAATATCCATCCTCAAACTAGAGATGATCCTGCAAATCGCATGAGGCACTAAGTTAAAGCGTCTTTCTTTTTTGGTCGAAACACTAAGTTAAAGCTTACACGCAAAGGAATATCAATCCCCGCAATTTAATCTTTGAAGATGCCGGTTCATAGCCCGGTCCGGTCCGATTCACAAGCCGAACCGAACGCCGCGGAGAGTCTTCATGTCGGACCCGGTCTTCCACTTCTCTTCCCGTGGGCAAAGCTGAAAGCAAGAGTCCCATCGAGTTCCAAATCTTCCTGCTTTTAGATTAGCTGCGTGATTGTCCATGGAAGAATCGTCGTCATCTTCTTCTCCTTCTTCTTCGACGGCCCCCCTGCATCCTCTTTCCTACTGGGATTGCCTCAACCTGTTTCTTCTCCGCCCGTTTCTCGCCATCTACTTCGTCTTCTCCTTCATCCTTCTGGGTATCTCGATCACTCCCCCTTCCGAATTCAATTGTGGTTTCTGCGAAGTCTTTCGATTTGTTTTTCTTCTTCTGTTCCGTTAACGCTATGTGGGTCTTTGATGTTTTTTCCTTTCTTATGTATACGTGATGATTCTTGGAATTGTGCTGTTCTGGTAAAGGTGTTCTCTTTTTTTTTTTGCTGTGGGTCTTCGATTCTGTAGGTTGGTATTTGGCGTGGAAGCTAGTTCTGGTACATGTTCCTCTGGTTCAGGAGATCTTCGGCCTCCGGAAGAAGTCTGTCAAGCCGAAGCCCCCGACTCGCCATCGGCTTTCGAAGTTCTATAGTAGCATGAATCGTGATCCCCAACAACACCCTGACTCTAAAAAGCCGATTTGAGATCGTTTATTAGGCATGGTAACCTCTAAATGGCAAACCTTTTAAGATGGTAATTTTGCATCTGTTGAGGCTGTCTGACTTTGAATTGATTGTGATGTGTTTTGGTTAATCTCTCCGGTATACTTAAGGTGGGTTTTCTTATCCCGATTTGTTTGACTTTGGTGCTCCAATTAGCTGAAGTAACGAGCAAATTTTCAAAGGTTCGACCTTTTGTGAGATTTATGCATAGCTTGTCTACGATGCAAGATATCCATGACAAGTTGATTATGTAAGAAGTCACCTCAGTGATCGTCTGTGAGGCTTTAGTGCTAAAATTAGAGTTCTGGACACTTTTGACGCGGATATTAAGTTTGCACTGGAATTGTGCTAAGGATCCTTGTGAGTATCTTTGAGTCAAAATCAATCAGCTGAGTTTCCAGTGTATTAAGCTGGTACAGTAGTGAGATGATGTCGCATTGCATGATGACAGGCTTGGGACTAGGCTCATCTTCCATAGATTACACAAAGAAAAAGCTTTTGCTAATTAGGAAACTTATTTGACGGCTGCTATCTGTCTTGTTTATGCTTATGTCAAGGACTCTTGAGAGTTTCCTGCTCTTGTCAATCAGTTCAATCAAGATTTTTATATGAATGCATCATCCTGGTTGTAGATTATGAAGCTGGTCAATTTCTTTTAAGTAAGTGGTAAATGTTTTAGGTTCATAATCTTTAATGAGGTTCAGGGGTGACACTTTCAATGACGGGATTGGAATTCACTGCCTTGTTACTGCAAAGTCATGATTTTGTCAAGAGGAAAGATGAGAGAGAAACTCTATTCAATAATCAAATAATGTTCGGCCTGACTTGATGGTTTACGTAGCCTGCTGCGATACTGGAGGCCTTATAGTAAAAAATTTCTTGGAACATAATTTGATTTGTGAAGGATACACCTTTTCTTCTGGTTGATATATCTTAAAATGACTGAAAGGTTAGCAGTTATTGACAATGACAGAGGTGGCCTGCCTTTACCACTGCTCCATTTACTCAGCAAAATCCATTCACAGCACCAATAGCAAAACACTTTCTGCTGAAAGATTTCTTAGTAAAGCACCAAAAGCCAGCGGCTCTTTACAAAGGGTTTCTGCTGAATCGAATCTGGGAAAACTTTGTTTGCATCCCTCGTTCTTCTTCTTCTTCTCCTCCTTCTTCTGGCTTTTTTCCTCCTGGACTGGCTAAATTTCTCCTCCGCATCCACATTAACCAAACTGGTTACAGGATCAAGAAAATCATCTTTCCTGTTCCTCATCAACCATCTGAGATCTTATGTCTTCATTTTGTTTTGAATCATCGAGCCAAGAAATGAAAGACTGAAAAGTTGGTTTGCATCACTTTATCAACCTCAAATAGGTAAAGCTTCTCACCATGTAAAAACAACTTATAATCTCCTATCTGTTACAATATTTCACTAACAACATGAGCTATGATCTTCCTCATACAAGTATAAAGCTCAGATACCAACATGACACTTGGCTCATGTCTAAGTTAAGATCACCGCTGCGTGGTCTATTTAGCTTGCTGAAGAGATGGCTTAAGGTACATGCCACTTAGCAGCAAAGTCAAACTCTAAATTGCCCTGCTTCCATGAGGGGTTACATAGCTAATGCCCGAGTGTGAAAACATCTCACATTTATCAAACGTTGCCAAATTTGGCAATACAAAGATGGTACTATGGCATAGGAAAGCTTTAATCTTTTTCTCCTCTGTGTATGAGATGTGCTTATAGTAAAGCTGGCATCGTAAGGATCTTATGACAATGCATGTCAAGGAAAATGGGGCGTGAAATCTCAATTTCCGTGTCATCCTTTCTGCGAGGGCTATTTTCTCCTTCCATTCTCTCATTGGCAAGTTTTAGAGCATGTAACTATGGACTAGAGATCTTCTGGCTGTTTACCGTGAACTTGAATAGCTTTCGGATAACATTCAAAGAATGATGAATTGTTTTGGTGTAAATTGTTCCTTCTTGGCCACGAGAGAAGAGATTATTGCTAAACGCCAGAATCAGACTGTTGTTAATAACCTTTTAGTTCTTCAATGCGTCGTGAATGCTGGAATTTTCCATGATTGGTTGAGTTCAGATAGAAATTTCCCAATGGCATAGTGCTGCTACCCTATCTGTTAAAAAAATTTCTGCTTAAGAACATGCTGAAGACAAAATGCAATAGTTTTGCATATTGATTCTGCACAAACCAACTGTTTGGGTATTCTTTTGTTACAGACAGATCGAGCAACTCTCGGATGAGGGAGGCAATCAGGCTTGTTAGGTCACTATGTTTGACAAGGATGAGGAACCTCAGAAATTTGTGCCGGAGACATGCTGATATTCCACACCCAATCTCTAAAGGTGTCAATAGGTCTGAAAGGTTGAAGATCGTCCGGTTTGTAGATCGACATTCTTAATACATCACAGGTGTAATTATTCGCTCCGTGCGTATTCAGTTCCATCTCGTCATTGTAATTATTCAATTAAGTGCATATTCTGTTCCATCTCTTATCCAGTCCACATTTACACGAAGTTTATGCGCGTCAAATCAATGTCAATGGCAGTATAGCGAGCAAGTTTTAAGCAGGCATGTTTTTTTTTTTTTGGGTCGAAGCAGCAGGCGTGTTGAATGGAGAAATTTTTCAGCTTATATGACATAGCTAGTGCCCGGTGCTTGTCTTGCTACAATTCGATGTTACCTTCCGAACCGTAAATGCTCATATTTTACTATTCCAGTTCAATTAATCGAGCTCATTATCTCCTAAATGGCCTGCATTTGAGCCCTGATAATTTTTTCTGCAAAGCTCGGCATAGGCATATAGCATTTACTTGTGAGAATCATTCTGAAGAAGGAAATATCAACATCTGAAAAACAGATCAGCTTGCCAATTGCCATGACGAAAAATGGTCACGCTTAGCAACATCAAAGTTGGGTAGAAGGAAACGCGCGCGCCCGGCTCGTTCATCATCTCCGTTTGACTGCATAAATTGTTTCAGAACGAAATTCCATAACCAGCAGAAACCCTTCCGAATCCAAAAATACTACAAGGCCAACATTAACACGCAAAAAGGAACACATTAAACCTTACAATGTACTAAAAGGACCGGGGTCTTGGACAAATAATCCAGAAAGAACGAAAAAAGGGAGTCGAGATTTCAATATCGTAACAAATGTGCTTCTTCAACCGGTTTCAACCGGCCCGGTTTATCCGTCGTATAATGCGCATCCCATCCTCTTCTTCCTCTCAGTAAAAAAGTTACACAAGCAATTAGGATTGCTAACCTTACATCTACAGCTACTCAAACTGGAGAGAGTCCTTGATTATAGCTGATAGCATAGACTCGGGTAACGAAAGTTACTTTGTTTTCCCAGCCAAGAAGAAATAACCAAAAAGACATTCACCGGACTCATCCGGTAACAAGGCACACAGAGTCGCCAACAATCGCAGCCACCACAACTTTAGATAAGGATCTAGGAACATTAATGAAGTTTAAAGCCAATACAATAACGCAAAAGCAACTTTAGATAAGGTTCCAACAGATCCAATACCACGACAAACATAGACCTTCAAAGGTACTGACTCCAACAACCTGAGATAACGCAAAGCAAACCAAGAGGCTCGTGACAGGGAAGATGAATAAACCCTCCCTCTCATTGCCTCCCTCTTATTATAAATTAAGAGAGACGCGATTACGCAGCTAAAAGCCAAACACGGAATGTCATAAGCATCACTCGACAGTATCTTTGATGCTACCAGCAGCAGCTGAAGCGTGCGCGCAAGTTCACCATCACTCTTCTTCGGTCTCGGACTCAGCACTCTGAAGCCAATCAATGAACGGCTTAACATTTTTCCAAATTGGAGAAGCTTTGTTTCCACCAGCCAGACCCTTCCGATACCACTCCATTATGAACTCCTCCTCGAGCACATCATCGTCATACAGGAACTTCAGAACCAGCGCTGCCTCCTTCGAGACCTCCTGACCTGCCCTTCCACAGAAAGACTCGATAGCCTGCAGCAGCACCATCTGTGATCCATCCTCCTCAGTGGCAGCCACCAGGTAACTCTTCTTTTTGGTCACTTCCTTTGCAAACCGCTTCCCAACACCATCAAAGAGAGCCTGAAATAAAGCATCCATGATTTCTTTCGGGGTCCCGGATAGAGATTTCAAGAATGATTTTAGCTGGCTGGATGAGGAGCCCTTTTCCAGGAATTCCTTAATCTCGTCAACAAGACTATCCTCAATCTCAGCAGTTACAGTGCCATTGCCATGCCCTTTGGTTTCTGATTTTGCTGCTTCTTCCGGCAGCTTCTTTGTCGACTTTGATTTCTCCTCATTGGTGGAGAGCATGACCATGTCAGCAGTAACAGCACTCAGCTGCTCCTGGATGCGCTGCCGGGCCGCCTCTAATGATGTGTCTGTTTGCCACTGCACGTCGTCGTCGTCGTCAGCAGCAGCATGATGATCATTCTCATCAGCCTGGCTCCCTGGTGGAGAGTGCTCCTCATCAGACAGGTTCTTCTTCTTAGTCGATGCACCTTTTGATGCGTCCTTGGAAGTTGCAGAAGCCTTTTTCTTCGCCGCCTCCTTTTTCAGCTTCTTCTGCTCCTCATCTGCCGCCTCCCCCTCTTTGAGCCGCTCTTTCTCAGCCCTCCTCATAGCCTTCTTATCTTTTGATGACTTCTTCTGCTCAGGTGGATTTTTCAGTATAAACGTCGTCAGCTTGTCCCTCATATCAACATCCGACACAAACCCACAAGCAGCACATTTCAGTGTGATCATCTGGGTCTTGGTAATGGTAACCTCAGTTTCAGGATTCCCACAACCATAGCACTGAACATACTTCTTAATAAAGTTCTCCAGTAAGCCGGCGAGCTTCGCAGTGTCATGGGCTCCATTAACAAGTGAAACTCCAGTCTTCTCATCAAACTTCGATTGAGCACCAAGCTCGCAACCAAAATACTTTGTGGTGTAAGAAGCAGGTCTGCCCAGTGCCTTCGCAATCTCAACCATGTTGACCACATTTGTCTTGATGCCATTGCCTCTACCCTCTATCTTTGTTATCATTTTTGGCATCTTATACCTGTAAAAGGCATCATCACGGTTCGAAGCACCAATATTTTGGAGGGCCATCTTGTCGCGGCAGCGCAAAGTCACGAATCTATATCAGAAGGAACAAAAGGTAACGGCAGCTTTATCTGCTATGGCAAAATTCTCTTCGGATGTAAAAGGTCGCATAGACCCGCAACCTAGAACTTCACTCCTGCAGCTCTCAATGGCTCCAAGACGCATGCATCCAACAATTTCAGATGGATGTATGTTCTTTTTTCTAGACGTAGGACAGTACTCCCCAAGTAATCCAAGTGATGACAGAAAAAGTGAGGCCGGTTCAGACATAAAAGAAGCTTCGAACTGAGGACCCTCCACTTTGACAGGCCAAGCGTCACAGATTGCCTGCACCAACTTCATGCAGGTAAACAAGACAAAATTTAGGAGACCACCAATTTATTAATGACAGAACTCATCAAAACAAAATAAAACACAGATATGAACATGCAACTAGGTATCTGAAATTTTCTCGACAAGACTGTAATTGTTGAGTCGAATACAATAGAAGCAATTTCCAGACAGCAAAAAAATACAACAAAAGCAGTTAAAACAATATTAGACATCCTAGATGTTTGATGGATAGTGACGATAGCAGCTCTAACCATTTTGGCCGTAAACCAACAAGCAGTTGACATAGATCCAACAAGTACTACTTTCCACACACTAAAACACCTCACATCAACCATAGTTCAGGCACAGCATCTCACACTCAGGCAGTAATAACATTCTTTATTAAAATCATATCAAAGAAAAGTGATGGGTGCATATCTATGCAAAACTAATAATCACCATTCCACAAATGCATGTCTTCATGCCAGAAGTTCCTTTTTCTGTTATTCAAATTTCATTTTCCGTCATTGGAACAAATGAAGGGCCTCTGCTTCCACAAGTGGCAAGCTTTTTCAGAAAATACAGACAACTTGGTCAAATGAAAACTGTTAACTCAATCTTTCCTGCAAAAGCCATGTCAGTATTCTAAAAAAGATCGCCACGCAAGGTTTATCTTAAACATTGATATGAGAGTGTGTTCGCATGATTAAATCTCATCGATGAATTCACTCATCAAAACAAAAGCTAGACACATTCCTTTGAATATCCAAATACGTAAGCAATCACGGAAATCGAAACACAGAGAGAATAAGACACTCTCGATATAAGACCTGCAACAGCTTCGAATAAATATACACAATAAAATCAACAAGATACATCAGCCCAAAGCACACACGATCCACCTAATTCCCAAACAGCAAGGGTTAGCTCCGTAAATCGATCAGAAAAGATCCATCACTCAAGTACTAGAAACAAACAAGCATCCACTCCATCAGGCAATCACCATACGCAACAAATCCAGCTAGAATCAAATCAGTTCGCAATCGATCGTCAACAATCCATCCAAGGTTTGACCAGACCAGACCGCGACCGAGGACAGCACCGCACATCCAAAAACCGTCAAGAAACCTCTCGATCCCCAACAAGAAACGCCAGATCTAACATGAAAACAGACGAATCGCGCTCCGACGAGCTGAATCGACCGTCCCGATCGCTGAACAGACAGCAACCGGCGCGATCAAACCCGACGACGCAGAGCGACGAGCATCGATCGAACCGATCGCCGCACCAGAACCAGTAGCAATCGGAGGAAGAGGAGGAGGAAGAGGAGGAACCGAGCACGATACCTTCTTTAACGATGGGAGAGGGATTCGTCGTCGACCGCTTCTCGCTTCTGTGCTTTGCGTCGCGCAGGCGTGGCTTGGCTTCTGAATTCCGGGGCTCTGCAGAAGAGCGATGAGGCTGGATTTATATAGGAGGCGTGAGAGTTACTAGGGCAAACTCATCCCTCCCGCAAATAAAAAAATAAAAAATAAATATAAATATAAATATAATCCGACCGACTTTCTAATTCCTAATTCTATTTTGCAAGAGAGTATCCCCGGTGGGTATATTTACGATTATGCCCCTCTTGGATGGGTGTTCCTCGCTTTTGTTCGGGGCTTTTCTCGGCATTTCACTCCGTTGCAGATATGGTCGGAGCTGGTCCACGAAAATTACGATGAGAAAGGGACGTTTAATATCCTGCTGTAAAGTAAAGGGGTCGCTGCCTAACATTTTTTACATATTATTATATTTTTGCCCTTGTTTTTTCCCTTGGCCAACTGGTTGCTTGACATGGGTTTTCTTGGGGCTTTCTGGCTTTAACTGGAATCATCTTCATCATAAAAAAACAATTTTTTTTCACTACCGTAAACTCATTTTTATGCAAGTGAATCCGAACTCATGAATAAGCAGATATTATAAACAATATCCAGCTCGGATATCAGTCATTATAATTTCTTTTTCTTTACTTGATCGATCATTATCGATCTTGTCATCTAGTATTTTAAGAAGTTATTTTCGATGCAACAAATCTAAAGGTGATGCGACGTCTAATGTGCCGGAAGAACGGTGGATAAATTTTTCAAGAAAGCAATCAGTAAATGATTATGTACTAATTAGAATTTTCCCAACGATATTATTTTAAAAACCTCGTGATAGAGTCCACGGTTTCACACTATATGGAGATTAAACGTCTTCGTTAGTCGTTTTTTCTATTATTGCGCTCGTTATTATTTCGGTTTGGACTTTCAGAAACTGACCAATCAATCGACAAGGGGCCATCGAAGGAAATATCCGGGGTGCCGTGTAATTTGGCAAATTATTAGTATTTTGTGAAGTGATGGAGATATTCATCGGAAAGGGGCCAAAAGTATATGCGGAGGAAAATAGAATCTAGAAGCTTATCGCTATCTTTGATTGAACAGGGAAAGGTGATGGGCATGGGCATGTTCGGAAGAGTAATGACATGTCGTACCAAAAATATCAATGATTTATATTTTTCTTTACCGCACTCGACTTTAGTCGGTCCGCGCTGCAATCGCTCGTTTTGGATTGGCAACGCGGGTTATAGATGTATGTAATTGTCGCGCTCCATGTGTATTTTTACGTGTACATGAAGGAGCCGTTTATTTTACAAAAAACGTATTCTTCATTTTTTAGCATTTGGATCGCTTAAAAAAATGAGTTAACAGAAAAGGTTTTCTTGATCAACGGAAAATTGATGCTTAAATTCAAGAAAGTAATTTCCTCTTTAAAACATTGAAAATTATGATTATACAGTAGCTTTTGGATCAAAAACTCTGCACTTGTGTATCAGAACCCCGACACTCGTTCACAGGCCCTTGACAACGAGGCCCGATCTATCGAGGTCCACCAAAGGCAAGCCAAGGCACATTGAGGAAGCGTTAAAGGCCCCAACGCCTGGGCCTTAATCCATCGAGGTCAAGCCCAGGACTCTCATGCCCGTGCTCATAACCCTGACACCCCAACCTAGGTCCATCTAGGCCAAGCTCGAGTATATCAAGGCTGGGGCCAAGATACTCAGCTTAGCCCCAGGTCCCGACCCTTGTGTCCTTATCCATCAAAGCTGGGCCCGAGACCCCGACCCCAGGCCTAGACTTAATTTATTGAGGCCGAGCACAAAACTTCGGCGCTAGTGCCAAGGTCCATGATGCCAAGCCTGCCCGTGCACGAATCCTCAATGTTTAGGCCTAGGTCCAATCAAGGCCCTGCTTGGGACCTTAGTGCCCAGGTCCTTGGCCCTCGCACTCAGGACCATCAATGTCGATGCCAGGTCCTCAACCCCATCAATGTTGGGCCCAAGACCCTAGTGCCCATGCTCGAGATCCGAGCCCATGGCCCCTGTGTTTGTGCCCGATTCCTCAGCTGCTCATGCGTAAGTTACTAAAACTCAAAATAGTCTATATCTGTTTAGGAAAATCCGATCTTTCTTACCAAACAACGAAAAATATTTTTTAGTATAGTTAGAGGTTTCAACCAAACATCGGAAAATATTTATCATTTTCCTGAAAAATGACTTTTTAGAATATATTTTTCGCGAAATAAATGGAACATAAATAAGTTATCATCTATTGAATTACAGGAATAACCTGGGAAGTTATTCTGAGTGTAAGAATTTACACCTTATTAATTCCCATGCTTTTGGCAAAAATTGGAAGCTTATCATATACAATTAGTAGATTTCGATATTTGCGTCCAGATTCAAGTGTGAAAAAAATTTACCATAAAAAAATCTAAATCTGAAAGTCATATGGAGAAAAGGGAAAAAGTAAATCGTCGTCTCTTCCATTCTCTCTCTTCTCTCTACCCGGCAACAGGGGAGTCCAGCCCAGATGGTCACATGACACGGCCTTTTACCAATATTAGAGTACATCATCATCTTGCTCGCCTCCCGCGGAAAGGTCGCTAATGCTTAAGGCCCACTTTCCGATTGTTGATCCATTTTGGGAAAACGACACAAATAGTCTTCGAACTTTGACCCGGTGTACAATATGATTCCTGAACTTTTAATTTGTACAATATAGTTCCTAAAATTTAGCATAATATTCAATGTGGTCCATGAACTTTTAATTTATTCAATGTCATTGAACATTTTTATATAAGACCCGTTTGGTTCGGCTTTGAGGGAATGCCTTTGGCAAAATGCAAAGGCCTTTGAACTAAAAGGGTTTTTCGAAATGCAAGTAATATTTAGTAATATATATTTTAAAATCACATTTGAAAGCAACTTTGGCCTAAATACTGTTTGGTAAAAATTATATTTTGTAAAAGACTTTTGCTGATATTTAAAAAAAAAAGAAAAAAAAAAGCAATCTTGGTGGAGCTCACCCACTGGTCATCACCGCCGACCAAATCTGGTCGCCAGCCACTGCCACCTGACCTCAAGCAAGGCGGCATGAGGTCGCGCGACCTCAAGCGTTGCCTGGGTTGCGCAACCCAGGCGAAGCCTGAGGTCCGGCAACCTCAAGTGGCATCCTCTAGGTCGCATGACCGCCTCCTGGGGTTGCCGAACATCGGGCAACGCCCTGGGTCGCGCAACCTAGGCAACGCTGGGCCTGGGTCATGCGACCCAGGCGACGCCCGAGGTCCGGCAACCCCAGGCGGTGATCACTGGGGTCGCGCGACCTCTGCGACCACCGCCTGGGGTCGCACGACCTCAGGCAGCGATCGCTGGCCGCTGGACCCAAAGCTTGAAGAAGATGAACGGTAGTCGCTCGATGAACAGGGAAGTTGCATCCCAAAAATGCAACTTCCTCAAGGCTCCTCTATTCAGGCAAAGGCCCTTGAAGAGCTTTGGAGATGTAATTGCATCTTCTCAAAGATTGCCAAACAATTTTACATTTGCTCAAGAGACTTTAGAATCCCAAAGCAGCATTCAAATGCTAAACCAAACAGGGCCATAGTTCAGGGACTATATCGAATATGTACCAAAAATCCAGGAATCACATTGAACAATTTAAAAATTTAGGGACCACATTAAACATTGGGTTAAAGTTTAGGGGCGATATCGAACAAATTAAAAGTTCGAAGATTACATTGCACATTGACTCAAAGTTCAGGAACTGTTTGTGTCATTTTCCCATCCTTTTTTCCAATAGAGAAGTTGTAAAATATTTTTTAGGGCTCAGAAAATGAATGATTTAGAAAATATTTTCTTAAAAATGATTATGTTTGTCTCTTAAAATAATTATTCAAATAAAAAATATTTTCATTGTCGACTACAATTTACGTCTAAACATTTTCGTTAACGATGAAAATATTTTTTGTCCATTCATTTTTGTAAACGATACAGGCGATCATTTTCAGGAAAATATTTTTCAAATCATTCATTTTCTGTAAAATAATCGGAGGCCTAGTAAGAAGTCGCAGGGCTTGTTTGATATAACCAAAAATTTAAGTGCTAAAAACTTACAAATTGGATAGTGTTAGCCTTAAAGATAGAAATAAAAGGTTAATTAATGATAAGTGAAAATTGATCCTCCAATATTATTAATTTCTTACCGAACATAGAAATACCATTATTGTTGGCAGGTTCCTAATTACCATCAGTTTGCTATTTCTATTAAATGAAAGTACCTCTTTCTTACTTTCCAGATTAAGCGAATTTTCATTTAATCGAATCTTTTAAGTCAATTCTAATGAGGGTTATCAAATAAGATCTCATTGAGGAGTTGATTCTCAATACTTAGGGTCCATTTGTTTCGCGGAGAGCATTTTCCGGGAAAATACTTTCCTCATTTTCCAGCGTTTGGTTTACTTATGAAAATAAGTAAATGGAAAATGTTTTTCTAGTCAACGAAAAATGTTTCCTTACCAAAGCTTAAATTTAGAAAAATGATTTCCTCTTTGAAAGAACCGGAAAACGTTTTTCCGAAGTATAACTAGCCATCGGCGCTTGGATCCGAAACTCTATGCTTGGGCATGAAAACCCCAACGTTGGTTCCCGAGTCCCGACATTCAGGACCAGGTCTCAGCTGTTGGGCTTGAGACCTCGGTGTCCAGGGCCTGGGCCCCCAACGCCTATGCTCGGGTCCATCGAGGCTGAGCTCGAACCCCTAGTACCCGTACCCGATGCTCTAGCACCCAAACTCTGGTCCATAAAGGTCATGCTCATGTCCCCGATGTTTGAGCACTAGTCCCGACCCTCCGACCCGAGTCCACAAAGACCGTGTGCAGGTCCCCGACGCTCGAGCTCAGATCCTTAATTAATGAAATGTTTGTTCTTATAAAAATATTTATTATTTTTATTATTTTTTTAAAAATCATTTTTTTATTTTTTTAAAAAAATCAAATTATCTATTATTTTCTTTTCTTTTTCTTTTCTTCCTTTTTCTTTTTTCTTCTTTCTCAGCCGATCGCCGGTCATGGCGACAGCCGGTGAGCTCACGGCCTCTAGCGACGAGCCTCGATCTCACCCTAGGTCGGTGAGCTCA